TGTTAAAAAACTTCAATACAAATAAGATTTCGTGTGACATTTGGGACAAACAATAACATAACCCAACTAAATTTGATGTCAAACAAGGAGAGAGACTTTCTTTCCTTGTTTAATGTGGGCCTCTAAAGATCGCACTTCCTGTCTAACAATATGTTTGCCCCCACTATCTTTACATTCCCTCTTTGTCTTTTGCTCGATAGTTGTAGATGTATTCCTTGTATCAGCATTTAAATAAAATTTATAAAATCTTAAAAATCGTGCTTCTTAAAACTGTGCACATATAATATTGGCATAATTTATTTTATTCCTACAATACCCTAGTAATGATAGTTTATATTTAAGCGATGAGTCCTTCAAGGACGAAATACATATAAGCAAATTGTAGAAGTATCATACTTGACATCAAATCTTAACTGTATTTTCTACATGTATCTTAATTTTCTCGTACTTTAAGTATTCGAAGCCAGTTTATGAAAGGTTCTTACTTAGTTGAATCGATATGATGTGGAATGCAATTTTAGATTTCCAATATTGGTCCATTCATCGTCTGCTTGCTTTGTAAATTGTAGAAGGCATAGATTTGGGTAAGATTATGAATTTGGTTTCGAACAAATAGAAATCTTCGGATTATTTTAGCGCTTAAGTTATCTTTTCGGAGATCTGACGATGCACAGCAAAATTGTAGTATGCCAAAACCGGTCATCGAAGGTAAAATAAATTGATAGTAAGTCTATTATTTATTTATTTTTTACCTACAATCTTTTCTTCCATGAAAAAGCGATAGCATTAAGAAAATACTTTCAGAGCAATATTACCTGAAAAAAATAAAACAAGCTCTAAAAGGGTAAGGAGGACTACGTATGAAATAATGTATGTTTTTGAAGAGAAATCATTCTATTGGAAAGTAATTGCATATGCGTTGTAATGCAGGAAAATTTAAATTATATATCAATTTTATTACACTATTCAAGCGAATCATTCATTACAAGCCACCAAACACGGATCGTACAGCATTGGTTACATATTTACCGTATTTTTAATAAAAACGTAGCGTATCTTAATTTATTCGTACTTTAAGTATTAGAAGCCAGTTTATGAAAGGTTATTACTTAGATGAATCGATATAATGTGGAATGCAATTTTAGATTTCCAATATCGGTCCATTCATCGTCTGCTTGCTTTGTAAAATTGTAGAAGGCATAGTTTTGGGTAAGATTATGAATTTGGTTTCGAACAAATAGAAATCTTCGGATTATTTTAGCCCTTAAGTTATCTTTTCGGAGATCTGACGATGCACAGCAAAATTGTAGTATGCAAAACCGGTCATCGAAGGTAAAATAAATTGATAGTAAGTCTATTATTTTATTTATTTTTTATACCTACAATCTTTTCTTCCATGAAAAAGCGATAGCATTAAGAAAATACTTTCAGAGCAATATTACCTGAAAAAAATAAAACAAGCTCTAAAAGGGTAAGGAGGACGTACGTATGAAATAATGTATGTTTTTTGAAGAGAAATCATTCTATTGGAAAGTAATTGCATATGCGTTGTAATGCAGGAAAATTTAAATTATATATCAATTTTATTACACTATTCAAGCGAATCATTCATTACAAGCCACCAAACACGGATCGTACAGCATTGGTTACATATTTACCGTATTTTTAATAAAAACGTAGCGGCCCTGGCGAGTTTTTCCATTCGCCATTAATTTGACACAGATGAAAAGGTTTTCATATGAAGGTTTTTGATTTATACGTAAACACGTAAAAGTTTACTGACGTTATGGAATTATTTTATCTCATAAAGCTTACACAAGAAATATTTATCTTTTCGTAAATTTATGTTTTTTTTTTATGTTATATTTATTATTTTATATGGTCTATTGAGGAGAGGGAGGCTTTTTTTTCCAGTTTGATCAAGTAATATTTTTATTATTAATATTATAATATCTCTTCTCAATTTAAATTTATTTTCATTTTGTTTGTGATAGAAACACAGGTCATATACATAATGTATAAAAAACTAGAAAAAGAGGGTATGTGCAAACGTATGAAATTGTCTGAAGTATAAACCGGCACCAGAAAGGTTGCCAGTTCATATTTTATTCTTTATCATTACATATTTTTTAGTAGATCGATATAGTGTTTCAGTAAATCAGTAAATTAAAGTTAAAATCAGTAGACTTGGTAAACCTGCGAGAGGTAATAATGGCAACGTACAGGCGCCAAATCATGGCAGTCACACCGAAATTGGTTTCACTTTGAGAAGATTTATTAAATGAGCGTTACATATCCTCTCTCTTTCCTTGTCTAAGACAAGGTCTTAAACCAGTTTGGCTACAAAAGAGGTTAACAGCCCTATTCTTGGATATTGAAATGAATTAGTTTGTTTGTCAATATTGAAATTCAAAATGGTAAATTTCTTTCATTCAAGGTAATCGACGTCAGAGACCATAATAACAACCTAATTGGACATCGACACAAATATCACGGCATACCACGAGGCTCGGTTTATTATAGCCAATTTTATTTAATATGTACACCTCTGACATACATAATATGCAAATAAACAACATCCCATTTAAAATAATACAATATCCAGATGACTTTTTTGTCTATACAGAAAGTAAGAAATGTGAAAACGGTATGCAAAGTAGAGTATGTAGTTCTCTTTCTCCATGGTACTTAGAGAGCGGCTTAAATTTATCAATTGCCAAATCAGCAGTATCTATCTTTACAAGGACACAACCTTTCTCTAAATTAAAATATAGTTCTTAATAAATCAATCTTTTACATTTAAAAACCATGTCAAATACCTAGGCCTTATACTGGATAAAAAATTGACTTGGAAACAACACATACAATATATGCTGGATAGTTGCACCAAAGGTAGTAATTTTCTTAGAATGACAACTAATGTGTGGTGGGTAAAGTTGCGATGTTGAAACGTCCTTATTGTTTTACAGATACGATCCATTATAGATTATGGTGCTACTCTTTATGGTTCTGCATCACGAAATCTAAGAAAAATTGACATTTTTCAAAATTTTGTCTTAAGGGTCTGTTTAGGTGCTATGAGATACAAAACACTACATGCTGAAGCTTATGAGCTTTCTCTTTCGATTAGAAGAAATTTATTAAGCGAAAAATAGGTACTTAAAGTCTACTCTTAACAAATCCGAAATTAGTTTCTAGTAAACGTCAACTTAACGAATAAGATCTCACTCACAAATATTGGATTAAAAAGCCATGTCCATCTTCGTGCATTGCTTTACAGAACATTTCAATTTTTTCAAAGAATTTGGCCAAAGTGGACTAAAATTTAGACTTCTCTGCTCTCTTCCATAAAGCTCAAGTTATAATACCCATATATAGTGACAACAACAATTTGAGCAACAATATTTTGAGATCTGTTTTGAACTGTTATAGTGATGCCACAGTTATATACGGACGCATCCAAATCAATAGAATGAACTGGCTGTTCCTATTTTCTACCCTCAGGAGGTTCTGAATTTAAATACAAACTTTCCAATGAGTTTTCAATTTTCTCGGCGGAATCATTGGCCACACTTGAAGCTTTGAAATATGTTAAAAATTCTTATATTAAAAAAACGTTAAATCTTTCAGACTGTCTTTCAGTTCTACAGAACATAAAAAAACACTTTTTTGCCCAAAATATTTAGTAATCCTTATATTTTTATAATAAAAATCAATTAAAGCACGTAGCAGACTCTGGCTTTAATATAAAATTTATTTGGGTTAAGGCACATATTGAACTCAAAGATAATGAATATGTAGATTACTTTGCTAAAACCAGTATATTATCAGGCATTTTATTGTCATATTCTTTATGTGTATCAGATGCGATTACGATTTAAAAAAAACAGCTATCAACGTGGAAAGATCAATGGAATCTTTACTGCTTTACAAACCAAACAAGATACACCACTTTACAACCAATTATTCCACAACCTACTTGGTTTAAGAATTTTAAATCTCCACGTAAATATATAATCACCATAAATAGACTACGCTTTGGACATGTGTGTTATCCAAGTTATTTTTATAAAATAAATGTGATTGAAGATGATAATTGCAAACATTGCGGAAAACTGGGTGATCTTGATCACATCTTTTTTGAATGTCCTAAGTTTCAACAGCATTCAAACTCTTTCTACAAAAAATTAATCGAATTTAATATATATGCACCGTTCAATATCCAGTCGCTACTGGCTACAGGCTCACAACAAATATATAATATCATTATAGATTTCTTGTCAGACACATGCACGGTTCTATACAATTTGTACGCGAGCATGGACATTTTCATGATCGTGTGGAAATTTAGATTTGGATCCTTTGTTTACCCTAAATGTAATAACACCTTATCCGTGGTCCAGTTTTGTTTGTCTACTAAGAATATCTTGATGGGCCCCTAGACGAGAAGCAAGTGACCCTGTGAGTTGTGCAGTTGTCTGATTGTAGAATCTATTGCAACTGGATGAAGGACTAATGTCAATGCCATTAACCCTTTGAGACCCTGTGTACATGTGTATGTACATAGCTTTTATTGTTTTGTTAAATACCAACTACTCGCTTATCTATACCGAAATAGAATTCAGTCACTCAAATATACATTTACGACCCACATTTTTAACTTCTGCTTCCATCTAGTGGTCAACAGGTAAAGTTGTCAGCGATTTTGTTGTAAAGCGTCAGCTGTTTAGTTGGTAACCGATACTGCTAGTTTTATTTTACGAGAAACTGTTATCTTTTGTGAAACGAAATCGATCCAACTTTTTAAGTGTGATTTATAAGGTAAGTAGTTTTTTATAAAGTACAAAACATTGCCATAAAAACGATAGTTTTAAAATAAACAATCATTTTTTTAGATGCACATGAGCATGTACAAATGGTCTGAAAGCATATTTCTGATTGTACATCTGTATGTACATATGGTCTAAACTTGGGTTTTAACTTAGTATTGTTGATTGCAGATAACATGGATTACAAAAGAAAAAAATATGATTTCGACAACCCAAAATATTTTCAAGAGTTAATTGACCTAAAAGAGGACGGTAACGTATCAGAAATATACAATTTGGAAGTTCCCGGAGGAGAGAGTTCTGACGAGGAGGATGGAATTCTGGATAACTGTGAGAATAAATCTATTATAAGACCAGGGATTGATGCTTTGACCAGACTTGACACTGAGACACTGGAAGAAGGTGATGGCAGCGAAAATGATAATGAGGAGTTAGGGAGAACTTATGATTCAGGACGACGAATATATACCAGATGAAGGTGCAGGTTACTCGGGTACAAAAAAATTAGGAAGTAAAGTATGTTTATGATTCCTTACATAGGAAAACTTTTCGTAAAACAATATGTGAAGGGGAAGCCCTGTCTTTGGGGAATAAAATTATTCGTCTTGTGCGGAAAAAGTGGTCAGGCTTTTAATTTTGTTTTTTATCAGGGTAAATCTACAGAACTGAATGCAGATAATAAAACAAAACATGATTTAGGGGCATCTATCGTTCTTCAACTAGCCGAAAGAATTTCCACCAGTGAAGGCTACAAATTATATTATGACAATTATTTCTCATCCTATGAACTACTTGAAATATTATTGGCCAAAAAAATATATGCTGGAGGGACTATTCGAATAGATAGATTTTACAAACCTCCTGTGTTACCAGACAATGAAATGCGGAAATTACCGTGAGGTTCCGTAGATGAAGTCGTCAATAAAGAAAAAAATGTTGTGCTAGTCAAATGGTTAGATACAAAGACTGTGAAATTAGCCTCCAATTATGTTGGTGTAGGTAATTTAGACATAGTTAGAAGATGGGACAAAAAAACGCTCTTGTTACGTAGATGTTAACCATTCTGAAATTGTCAAAGATTATAATTATGAAATGAGCGGAGTTGATCTAATGGACCAGATGATTAATTATTATCGAATATTTATTAGATCGCGAAAATGGTCATTGCGTGTTATTATGCACATGATAGACTTCGCTCTCACCAACAGCTGGCTGGAATACAGGAAGGACTGCGACAAATGTAATGCAACCAATAAGGAACGAATGAAATTTCTAGACTTCAGAGTCACAGTTGCCGAAAGCCTAATAAATATGGGCAATTCAGTAAGTAGAAAACGAGGAAGACCAGCATCTACATCTCCTAAGCCTTCTATTTCAACATTTAAACGACGAGGAGAGACGAGACCATTTTTGGAAATACAAACGGACAATTTTGGTCACATACCGGAGTTTCATTCTAAGAAGGAGGCTACTAGGTGTAAAATCACAGATTGTAATGGACGTAGTCATGTGTTCTGTACAAAATGTACAATACATCTGTGTTTAATTAAGGCTAGAAACTGTTTTGCAGCTTTTCATGAACAATAAATATGTAATAATAATTACTTTGTAGTAAATATATTTTTAGTGCTGAGTTTATATTTAAGACCATATGTACATATGTACAATAAAAAATTTTTTTTTAATAAGCGTACACAAGTTTTTTTCATTTTATCTTACTAATTGAAGACTTTTGAAATATAAAAACACATAAGATTTTATTTTTTGAACATAAAAAAGTCAGGTCTCAAAGGTTTAAAAAAAGACAAGGTCTTTCCTTGCCTAAAGGTATGTAATGCACAAGGTATCTTATGTATCATACGCTCATATCAAAAATTGCGTTGAGAGGTAATACCATAACAAGGATATTATTGTCACGACCAAGAAAGATGATTTCGTGAGAAATAAATTAAAATCATATACTGGATTTTTTATTAAGTTTTATAATATAAACGAAGATTAGGCAAAATATAACAGCTGCCATTTTAAAACTCTACAACTCAATTAAAAATGTAGTACGGAATTTCCTAGGTTCAGTCCAATTACGCAATACCCGGTGTATTTTAATAACTTTAATAGACATAGCATCACCTTATAAAAAATATTTTATCATATTTACCGGCCTTTAAAATGTTTTGAGAGACCTCTCCATTTTTTCACTAATGTAGTTGCAATACACAAGAGCATATCAATCAAAATCGATAATTTCAAAGGAAACTCCGCTGTCGCATACGTACACATACATTTGACAAATCCATAGTAAGCTTAAGGGATTAGCTTTGATGCCTTTGATCGTCCAATCAGTTCGGGCACAAAATTGGTGTATTATAGAAAAGCAACTGGCAACTCCAAACCAAACGTCTACGAGATTGTAACCTTGACAGAGTCTACCTCGATTTTCATTTGCTTTAACCGGATTTCAAGCGTCTTATGAAGTCGGGTTTGTTTGGGCTTAACTTTAGATCGTTTGTTGGTAGGTTTTGATGCTGAGTCAGTCGAAAGTCGCAAATAATAAATGATAAATTATTGACATAATTGATAAATTAAAGACAGAGGCCAGAAACTTTTAGTAAAAATTGTGAAATATTACCAACAGTATAAATTCAAAATAAATTAATATAATTGTCAGCGACTTTAATACTAAAGCAGGAAAGGATGAGGTAGATAATTTTGTAGGACATTTTTGATTGGGACAAAGGAATAAACGTGTAGATATATTGGTACTGTTCTGTCAAAAGAACAACTTAATATGATCTGCCACACAGAATATTATATACATGAAAATCGGCACAAGATACTGAACAACATATAATTAATAACCAAAGCGGTTTCATCCTAAGAAACAAACGAATCCAAAACAGTTTTAAAGGAACAGCAACTTACCATGGAGCAGACTTTAATTCCAACCAAAACTCTCAGAAAAGTATACTCTATATAATTTAAGTAAATATGAGGAAGACGACATAAAAAACAGTGGGAAGACATAAAAAACAACGTACATTAGGCTTCAAAAAAAGGTTCTATGGCAGGGGTTCTCCACCTGTGGCACATGTACCACTGGTGGTACATATCATTATGGTACTGCATAAAATAACACAAAAAAAATAAAAATAGTATTTCACGTTACAAGTTCAGTAGGTGACTACAAAACTATTACTAAACTGATACGCATTGTCGAAATGCTGGTCACGCCAGCAACACTGTGAAATCGTGGAATAGTCGCCAATAGCCTTTAGTAAGTGTAGTAGGTATTTGATTTGATAAGTGAGTAATAGTTTACACAAGTAAGTTTACGTTAGCTGCTTACCTTGTTAATTTAATTATAAAGTAATAGATGATCATCATGGCATCTCCACTCCTAGCGAAATGATTGCCGCCCTATAAGGGCTCTTCTGATTCATTTGTCGCGGGGAATTATTCCACATCAACAATTGGTTGTGTGTCTTGGTGTTTTCTACAATATTTCTCCATTTTTTCCTGTTTTTGCTTATGGTTTTCCAATTTCTAACTCCCATCTTATTAAGATCCGCAATTATCTGATTCTCCTTATCTGGTTCAGTTTTGAATAATGGCTACTATCAGTTCTCTCTTGTTACTTGGGTTTCAGGCAGGACAGTAACATCATGGTTTCTCAACCATTCCATGGAACTCTTAGCCGTCTGACAAGGCGCCCCATCCTGCTGGAAGCATTGTTGGGCATCCCCTTCAAACAAACGTCTGATAGTAGGCAGCAGTTTGGCTTGCAGTATCTCCTCCTGATTATTTTTGGCAATAATATTGCCCTCTTTTAGTGCTAAACATTAAACTCCATTAGTGGTCATACAAGCCATACCATGACATTCGCAGGATGCTTTATAGTGACCGTAGTACACTGGGGCAAAAAATCTTCCCTCGGTCGGCGGCAAACAAACTTCAATCCGTCACTCAAAAAGATCGAGATTCTGGTTTCATCACTCCAAATTACCTTACTCCACTGTTCTTCTGTCCACCCTCTGTGGACAAAAGCCCAATTAATGCGTTTTTTCCTCTGATTTTTGTTCAGGAACGGCTTCTTTCTATGATTCGTGTTAGAAATCTATTTTCAGACCATCCTATATTTGTAAGCCAGTTAATTTGAAAATAGCAATAATTTTTTTTGCGGATCTGCGACGAACTTCTGAAGAAAGTCAGCACATTCTACGCTTATCGTATTGACTAAATTTTGGTTTTCTGTCTGTTCTTTTTCTGATTTTGTCGTTCCAGTGTTACTGACTTTTACTGATAACGTTTATAAACTTTCATTGCCCCTGATTTTGTGGCGCCACCACCCAATTTGTTTGCTATTTCCTGATATGTGTGTAACGATGTTCTGATCGTTTAACAGTTTGAACCGTGGGAGTGTCAGTATTTGCGCTTCCACTTCTACAACGAGACGGCGAAGTGGGATTCGTGGGATACACATGTGTAACCTTCTTTTCGAATAATAATTGACTTTGGCTCTCTTTCCTGGCGACCAGTCAACACGTTTTGGGTTTCTTGTTGCTATTTTCGTTTAATCAACACTGATGTATTTATCTGCGACAATTAAACAATATCACCAATAACAACTACCTGAATAAACACTGGAAGTCGAACGAAGACGAAACTGTTTTAAACGCTTCCAATTGGGTCATTGACTGACTAGCAAAACCCTGATGGAATAAAGTATTGCCAATATTTTCATTCACAAATCTTGAATTTTTGGCGTTTCGCTTGAATCTGTTTCGATATTTTATTAAATAATTGTGTTAATTGCAGTGAGAAATACATAAAATATTAAGCAATTAGATACAAATGAAATTTTAATGATAAACTATATAAATCACGATCATATTCATAAGAGAGTGTTGCTGGAAAATCGATCATTTTTCCACAATTTTGTATATACGACATTTTATAACATTCTTAGAAAGATATTTGACTTATAAATGTTGTTAATAACAACTATCTTGTTTATTACGGTTAAGTTTGAACTGAACAAAATATTTTCCCTGGTGTATGTAGCTCTTTATAAAATATATCACTGTTTGTTGAAAACTCTAAAGCTAAATCACGTTTTCTCTTCTTTTTCAGCCTCTCGTATTCGATACGAGATCACAAGCGGTAACATAGGAGGTGCATTTGCAGTTAAAAACATGACCGGGGCTATTTATGTAGCCGGAGCTTTGGATTATGAGACTAGAAAGAGGGTGAGTGCAAACTGAATGGAAAAGTTTTAAGTTATTGCGTTTCAGGATGAAACGTTATGATCTGTGAAAAATTATAGTTCGGGATAAACATTTATGGGGTCTGTCTAAGCCGTATTGTTGTTTATAATTCAGAAGATCATCATTTACGGGTGTTATAATTTAATTAATACAAACTTTTCTTCAAAATATACAGGTTGTCTCAGAATAATTGCAGATAATTAATTTATTTTCTAATTAAGGAAATGTAATAAGACGGTAATTGAATTTTTATTGATATTTAGAAAAATCGATTCCTTCAGTATCATGTATCCACTTATCTGGATATCTTTACATAATCTCTTTATAGAGTAGGGGTGAGAAAAACTACCGGTTATAACTGTTTTTTTACTCCGCAATAATCAGTTTTTCCGGTTTTTTCTTATTTAACTAATAACCGGTGAAAAACCGGAGAACAGATCCTCAAGAAAAGAATAGTCTTGAGACATTAATATATGGCATTCGACGCCTTGGGGAAGGTCATACTGGGGATTATATCTACCAAACCATGTAGGAGCTCCTTGAAGAATTCGGCATCCGTCTGGCTAGAGTTGGCGCCTGCGCGTATGGTGGAGAGAACATGGTGGTTGGAGTGAGGAAGTTGGCAATCATATTGGCAATCATAACCTTGCTCGCTGCGGCTCGAAACAGCTCCGTTGAGGTTTTCTTAAACCATGTTCTTAAATTCCGCAGCCATGATATTCTCCTTCTACCGGGTCCTCGCTTACCTTTGACTTTACCTTGCAATATAGACTGTAACAGGGAGTAACGGTGCTGATTTCTCATAATGTGTCCCAGATATTGCAATTTTATGCGTTTGATCGTAAACACAATCTCTGGTTCCTTCTTCATTTTTCCTAGAACTTCCTTGTTCGTGATCCTTGCTGTCCATGATATTCTTAGCATTCTTCTATAAAGCCACATCTCAAATGCTTCAAGTTCTTTAATAGTGGTGTCTGTAAGCGTCCATGCCTCTGCCCCCTATAACAACACAGAGAAAACATAGCATCTCAAATGTCTCATTTTTGTATCAAGGGATATGTTGTGACTTTTGAAGATGGCGCTCATTTTATTAAAGACCGTTCTTGCCTTTTCTATGCGGCACTTTATTTCCTGTAAGTTCCTCCACTGTTCGTTAATAATAGTTCCCATGTAACAATACTGTTTTACTCGCTCTGTCTGCGTCTCGTCCTATCTGAGCCCCATTTATATTCTTCTTGCTGATAATCATTTGTTTGAAATGAAGTTACTACAAACAAAATGATATCTTCAGTAAGTAGACTTAGTTAGACTTTTAAAAGTGATAGTTTAAGTACCTTCTTATGTAGAAGGGAGATAATAAATCTTCTAAAGACCGTACAAGGTCGTGTCCCGTTAAGTATTACTTACTCCAATCCACGTAATCACTTTGTTAAGAGCTCGGTTCCCGCTATGTATAATTGACCAATTTTGGTTGTTCTCCACTAGTACCACCAGGTCATCCACATATGCTATTGCCTGTACACCAGTGCTTGAGTCGGTCTCCAAAAGCTCACTGTACCTAATGTCCCCAAGATGAAGCTCTGTGGCACTTTATAGAGTGATCCCTTGTAATGTTGATGTATCTATCTGTGAAGTAGTCCTTGACCAAGTTCTGCAGATAGCAAGATATTCCCAAGTCGCCCTGTAGTCTGATGATAATTTTTTAGCTAGCCCTATTAAAAACATTTTTTATATCAAAGAAGAAAGCCACCATCCATCTGCTTCTACATGTAGATATCTCCCTCTTATTCCTGCTCATGGTATCTACCGCAGATTTTTTTCTTCTGAACCCATACTGGCAGTCGGATATACTACCTTTCTCCATTATCTCCCTTTATAGTCTTCATAAGAATCTCAAAGACCTTCCCTAAGATGTTTAACTGGTATATATGTCTGTATGCCCCAGGCTTCTCTAATTCCCTATTCGGTTGCTGGATGAGTATGACATCTTCTGGGAGCTCTGGCCTTCTTAATAGGTTGTCAATAATATCCTGCACTTCTCAATTATGATTTTTGTTAGTTTATCAGGTCCACGCGCTTTTTCCACTTTGAACGTTTTGTCAGCTTTTATCGCTTCTTCTCTTATGAATTCAGTCTTCCATTCCATTTTAGGCCAACATCGCTTACTTTAGGGGTTAAAATAAGTTTTTATGAAGTCGATAACTTTCTGCTTTTCATTTTTCTGTCATCAGAAATCATTATACCTATCGGTATAATTTTTTTAATTGCAGTATATTTAATATACGGTTAAGAAATATTTATAAAAATATCATTAACTTCTACATTAGGTCTCGAAATTAGAGATGAGCAATTAAAAACACGAACATTTGGTGGCAAAATTTGTAAAGGAATTTTGGGTAAGGGTAGTGAAACCATAAAATTATCAAAAATCACTGTGTAAAGAGTTTATTTATGAACCTTCCAGTCAAGGTGAAAAAGTTAGAGGTGAGTGGGTAAAAACAAAAAAACTTACTTTTTCTGTGAAAATTATTTTGTTAACCATAGCTTTATCACATTAAATATTTACAGTGTTTCCCTTTATCATCCCTCCACTTCCACCCATGTAGTGAAATATTAAAATAACCACTGAAAAATTTTTGTAGTACTTTTGTAGTACGGATCCTGGAGATATTCTATACCGACCACGTTACTAACCAGGACGTTTTATTTAAAATGCAAAAAGGAAAAGAGTTCTTCACCGCAATAAAAACAGTAAAAATTAAATAAACAACAAAAGATATGGGTTGCTGCAAATGATAATTAAAGAAAAAAGAAAAAAGGACCAGAAAGTCAAAGGATTTACTGGGTAAAAAATTTACTTACGTAATCTAACACAACAACCACAAATATTTTCATAGCAACAGTTTGAAACAACAGATTGTCATGATATTCGCCAACATCAACGGATAGGCACTACAATAACAAGAAGAAGAAGCGTTTGATATGTCGTTAAATTGATTTTTTTTTCTTGAACTTGACCTTCGAGAATATTGAATTTTTCTGAAAATTCAACCGTTGTCTTAGCCAGCTGATTTCAAAAACAGTTCGTTCTCAATATATAAGCCAGCAGGGGCGGGGTCTGGGAAAAGTATTGGCATTCTACGCATCAATGTGAATTCTTCTAAGTGATAATTATTTTTGTAATCAGTAATTATGCTATTTGTAATTAAGTCGGTTTTTGTGTTTCACTTAATGTGTTTGTGTACTTCACTTAATCTCTGAACCCACAGAATATGAGTATGAAAAGTCTGTTATTGGAAACTTTATTCCCATAAAAGAATTTCGTTTGCCTTATTTGTTTAGATGTTATTTAAATTCGATTTGCTAGCTTTATTACAAACAACTTAAAATAGCGAATTGCTTTTCTCGGTTAAATTGCTATTTAATCAAAGCATTGGTTGTTAGGTTGCAACACTTTGCTGATATTCCGTTTGTAGTAGGAAATCCATGTACCACTTAAGAAGTTCATTTAATTCACCACGAAGTTATCACGTGGATTTAAATTTTCAATTACAGGCGTAGTAGTATTTGTTCATTTATGTATGATGTTCCATTAAGGATAACCATTATGCTGGAACTAATATATAGTTTTAAATTCGACTTTAACAGCCATTGCATAGATATAGAGGTCGCTGGTATGGATATAATAGATAATAAATTAATAGGTAGAAAATCAAAGGCATATTTTAAAAAACAAAAACTTTCAGAACCTCATATAAAATAACAAGAGAAAGTGCTCGCTGGAGATTAAGTTTAGTTTCCAGAATATTTATTGGTTTTTACTGTTTCTATTGTAAATTAATCATGATGTAAACCCCAAAGTGACTTAAAATTTGAAATTATCGAAGCTTACGAATATCTAAATTTTGACATCATTCCACTTTTTATAAAGATTTCTACAGACAAAACCCTAAGTAACTAGAATTCATGATACAGTAGTTGTAGGAAGATGAACAATAATCTTGCGATGATACTACCAATTTGAGCGTAATAATCAATGTAATAAATTACAATTCGAAGGACCACCCACTGACGTGGGAATAAAAGAATAGTACCATTAAGAAATATGTATTTTAATGACTAACTTTGTTATTTTAACTAACTTAAGATCTGACGAAAGTTTGCTCGTAGAGTTCTTATATTTAAACCTCCAATTCACTATTCGATGCACACAAGTCCTCGAAGCACAAAACACTACGACACTGATACAGTTTTAAGGTCATTAACTAGCACATGAACTAATAATGTTTTCTTTAATTTTAATAAACTTAATTAACAATAAGCTTTGCGAAACTATAAGTGAGACACACAATAACTATATAAAGTATGCGACAGTTTTTACTCTAAACTAAAGGCGTCCAGACCTCGCTGTTTTCATGTTAATACTAATAAATGAAAACAAAAATATAAAGCTATACAGAGAGACTGGCCCAAACCAGGCCCCAGATAATTTTATAAAGCAATTTCCTCTGAAAAAAGAGGACATAGAACCAGTTACATCCATACACTGAGAGAATCAAGGCCGTATGATATTCGACGGTAAAGAAGTAAGTAACTGAAGAATGGAAAGAGTATTTTAGGGACCTTCTAAACATCATACAGGAAGAACAGCACAAAGAAGAAATCTATATCACAGCGAACATGACCGTCAAAAATCCCTCCCTTAAAGAAACCCAAAACGCCTTAAATAAGCTGAAAAATCACAAAGCGCCGGGTACAGACGAGATACTAGCAGAACTTCTGAAATATGTGGGAGACGCACTATATCGCCAAATCCACCAGCTAATAACGCACATATGGTTAGAAGAAAGGATACCAGCACGATGAAAGGAAAACATAATAGTGTCCATCTGCAAAAAAGGGAACAAAACAAAATGCGCGAATTATAGAAGAATTTCACTCCTAAACGCGGCATATAAGACCCTCTCAAATATTATTCTTAG